AATTTTGTTAACTTAACTTAATCCTGAAAACTTCCACCTTGTCAAACTTACGGATTATTCAACCCTACTGGCTTGACTCAGTGTGCACACAAAAAGAAACGACGTTCCTCCTAGCACATTCCTAGTGCATCAGTATGACACCTTACCGGGCCATTGCAATTATTTATTACAATAGCTTAATCCTAAAAGGTTATCAACCACGGAGTTCCATGCTTATCCTATCTACAATTAGTCTTGCTGTCTTGATGCTGGGTTTGTTGTGTGACCTGAAACACACAACATTCCCGAAAGTAGACACTGTCATGTCACCCATTTTTGTTGGATGATTAGTTTTCACTAGCCTAGGTGTCTCCTACTGATTAGTCCTACCTACGTGACACCTTTATTTATGAAACTAAAACCTATCACACAACTTATGAACCTTCTCTAGGTTATGGTACTTAGCTTTTGTTTTGGAATTTCTCCACGTTGATGTTGTCCCTCGGCGATTCTGCGTTGTTGCTCCTGTGTCGAAGTGCGGTTTCCTTTCCTCAGCGTCGTCTTGTGTAATTTCTTTAAATTTTGCAGCTGTTGTTTTTGCACAACTTTGCTGATTTGTTGATTTTTATGTCTCAACAACTCTTCTTTCTTTCCTCCTTCCTTCCCACCGCCTTCTGCGGCTGTTCCAACTCGGCTTTTCCGATTCTCTTTTGTTTCCGTCCACCTTGTTAGCGCTCTCCAACCGTTACTTTTGAAACCCGGCACCTGTTCTTTTCCTTTGTGCAATCTTCGTCTTAAAATGGCCCCCCGTGATCCTGGTGCCGTATCGTTGAGTGCACTGATTACCAGTGATCTACCTGAGCCACAAGAACACGCTGACCAGCTAAATGCTGAGTATGGTGACTTTGCGCGCCTCATCTGCGTACAACTTGTTCGGGGACTTTACCGCCCCGCTGGTTGGACTTCTCGCCGGGTAGGTCTACCTTCCTTTTTCCAGTTTTCTTTCTTCATTTTTCTTGTGTTCCTTGAATTTTATATTTTATCGCAGTTATGCATCCGTTGTGGGAACTCTTCCGAGGTTAAATCCACAAACAAGTGGGAGGTTCTGGATGATAGTTTTTACGAGGAAGATTTGGTTCTCAATGAGTGGGTCTTCGGGATCAACGACGAATGGTGCACCTGCGGGTATTGCTTTAGCCCTTGCTATGTATGTTTTGTTCTTGACCTCTTTTTCTTTTATCTCTGCCCCTTTTTATTTGCATGTTTCCTTTTATTTATTTTTATTTTATTTTTAGCGAGTTTTGGAGCGCGAGCTGGTGGCTCATCGTAATGGAGATGGCGTTATTAGCTCTGATGAATATTACGGCATCTTGAATATTGGTCCGAATTCCGTACCGACCCTGCCCGACATTCTTGAGGAGTCTGAGCCAGAATCTGAGGATTGGTATCCTGTCGGTCCTGCCGATTCTTCGGACTCCGATGTAGGTAGGCTGCTCTTTTGCTTTCCGTTCAGTCCGTTCGAAAACGCAACGGTTTTCTCGATAACTATCTTTTTACCATGGCTCTTGTATTTTTGTGTTACCACCATGGGCTGGAAGATTCTGAGCCTGTTCAAATTGTGCTCCCTTTTGTGCTCCCGAATTTACCTTGTTACGCTCCTCTGGGGTCTTTGAGTTATCATTTCAAACCTTCTCCGACCTCTTTGGTGCTCACAGCATTTACATTTGTGCTAGATGCCTTCGATTTACCTTTGTGCGTTATGGGTCGACCCGTCGAAGATCTTCCCTCAGCTTACTGCAGGTGATTTTTGTTGCTTTATTTTTGTTTTTGTTTTTAGCGCCCTCTGCATCAGTTGGTCCTGGACCCGTCAATACGCCTCCCATCCAGTCTTGAAAATGGCGGCTGTTTTCCCGAGGAGTGAGGTTCGACGCGTCCGGCGAACAAAGGCGAATCTGCGGAGCGCCCGGTAACAAAGGCGAATCTGCGGAGCGCCCGGTAACAAAGGCGAATCTGCGGAGCGCCCGGTAACAAAGGCGAATCTGCAGAGCGCCCGGTAACAAAGGCGAATCTGTGTACGTTTTCTTATGGGGATACGCCTTTGTTACCGG